GCGGTCAACGATCATGTAACAAAGTGTCTCCTTGGTATCGCGGGCGACGCGATCCGCGACGGATCCGCGAGGGTTTCACTACGAATCCGACGAGCGAAATCATGCTACACCGGTCGGTGCGGTTGCATATTATACATGTCATTGCCCGGGGCAACCACGAGCTCTCTCTCGAGAGGCTCGGCCAGTCATTCCCGACAAGTGTGCATCACGACATTGGTCTACCTTATATCCACCTACGTGCCGTACATCCGCCCACATATTCTACCTTATTCACCTTAACCTGCGTCCCCTTTCCGCGCTTTCGGGGTCTCCTGACTTGTCGGTTAATCGGAATTGTCTGTGAAAAGTGCCAGTAGTTGGCTTGTGTGTGAATTTCCAAGTCCTGTGTGAAGCATATTATAGTTCCAGTTCTATTTCCAGCGAGTTTTCAGAAAACCCGGTATATAATAATAATAATAGTTTACGCCGATTTACAATCCCGTCTCTGCTATTAACCTGCACGACGTAGAAAATTTTTCTCCTCCGCCCTTTTTCTTCTCCCTCTTTTTTCCCAGAGTCGCGCGCAGTACACGAGATATTCTCACCTCCGCGTGCCAGCAGCTCGTTAGTGATTTACGTGGCAACAATGGCCGACAGGAGGCTAGGTAATTAATCCGTACACACTTGTGTCTCTCTCTCTTTCTCTTCTCTCACTTCCTTTCTTTCCGATCGTCCTTCTTTAACTCCATGTAATCCTTCGTTCTGCCGGCGAAACAAGCTGTTCGATCCCACGTCTTCGACCTCCAACTCGCGTCTCGATAATTTTTTATTTTTTTTTTTTTTCAAAGCGGTTCGAGTAATCGGGTAGGTTGTTCGTATATGCATTGTTGTTGCAAAACAACACGCGGCACACGCGGTAATCGACACGTAACACATACATACATACATATTCAAGAATAGGAGTTGGGCGGACACGAACGGAGGACGGGTTAATCTTGCGTAACGTAACAGCGAGGCACCTTGCTTTGCTGTTTCTTAGTCTTGGCTTGATTGACCAGCGAACCATAGGAATGCTGTGTGAAAATAATACTCGGCGAATTTTACGTGGCTAAAATATTTCACCTTGTGCAGCTTGTTTGAGAAATGAGTTTTCGTTTACTTTGCGGTAACTCAATACGCGCACATATTTATTTTTGCGATAATGATTTTGTACCACCTAAACAAAATTGGCGCGGATATCGCGCAGAGATGAATGTTTCTTCGTGGCGTAACGCCATTTGTTTCGCCACGACCTTTAGCACTGTACGCGCATAGCGGTTATTAACGACTTAACGTTCTCCGCACTCGGTTTAACTCTAAGGGGCGGGTAGATTATTTTTCCGTTTGCACGATGCTGGAATTTATAAATCGTCACGTTTGGTTGAAATGTACGCGGCCACGCTTTTCCCGGACAGAAGTTTAAATGGCCACTTAATTACGGAACGTTCAATGCGGTCGCACTATGCTAATTGTGGATCACACGGAAACGAGAGTGACAACTGTAGTCAAAAATTACATAAAGTAATTATTAAATAAATATAAAATATATATTTTTCTTTTTCGTAATGTATATTGGTGTAATTCGATTCCACCAGGATTTCCTGAAGCATAATTGACACGTACGCGGGGTCCAGGGCGTGTCAGTCGGGTATCCTTTAACCGCGACGGGATATCTAGGAGCTCGCGTTCATTCGCCGAGGAGAGAATTCGCAGGGCATCGGTAATTTCTTGAGGTTTTCCGTGGCTGTTACGCGGTCGCGAAGTTAATTGAGTAGAAACCCATTCAACCTGGAAATCTGCCGGTTCCTCTGTTGGGCGTATTGAACATCTTAACGTAATATTATTTATTAGAAAGAAACGCGGAAAGAAAGAGAGAGAGAGAAAAAAAGAAATCTATTATTATTTTGAGTTATTATACTTTATTTGTATGTCCAATATTTTCTCTATATTTTTATTGTGCATTTTATTAAAAATATAAGGAAATGAGAAAAAAGAAGGAGAGCGTTGCAATTTTGATGTATTCGATATTGTCGTGGAGTCACTTATTTCGTTTAACGAGTCATACTTGCAAAATTGCTATCTTCCACTAAGAGAAAGGATAGAATTATGTCCGGCAACTATACAGGCCGCGATGAAGCGAGATAAGACACACATTCTCATCCTGTCACTGTCATGTTTGTCCTTCCGATGGTGATTTTCCACGACGCGTGTTGTTATCGTGAAAGTGCGTGCGATCATGCGGCGATAATCACGCGACGTCTTGTCGCGGATTGATAGAAAACGTGTCGATAATAGCCGGGTCTTATTGATGGAAAACAACGTAATAGAGAAAGGGGACAATTTTATGACGTGTTTCTAATACACGGTAAAAAAAAATAAGGAAAAGTAAAGAAGGGAGAAAAGAAAATATGATATAATGAGATTTTTTTAAATATAAAACACAAGTTTATTAAAATTTAATGTACGCTTTCTTTTTTTCTATTGTAGTTTTAAATCGCGAACTAATGTTGGTCGTTCTACTTTCGGACGAGTTATAGAGAAATTGATTTACAGGTTTCAGGTTTATTTTCCTCGATACACATACCACGTGAACTTTTTCCTTAGCAATCTCGACGAGCGCGAGAGCTATGCGCGCAATGTCGCCGACGATTGATTAAGGACCCGGGATTGAAAGAGTATCTGAACGCGGTTCGCGCGTTAATAGGAGCCGCGTCGCGCCCGCATTTTTGCCGATCGAGTGCGATATCGAGTGTGCGCGACACAAAAAACCCCCGTTATCGAATTGCGTGTGTGTAACGCAATTAAAGATATATCGAGCAACACGGATAGCAGCAGGATGTGTTCTTTCGAACCTCTAATCTTTGGTCGTCCTCCTCCTTCTCCTTCTCGTCCTCCTGCGCGATCTCGGCCGATTGCACCGCGCGATAAACGTCTCACGGCCGAGGTGGGGACAGGTTTCCAGTATGTACGCACGGGGGTTCGTTCGATCCGCGAGCACCGGATGTGGAATATGCAGGCGACGGAGACGCGTGGGATTCCTCTCCGGTGCGTAGCAAGCGAATATTCAAGTACAGCTAAACACAAGGGAACTTTCCCACTGAACGAAATACGAAACTGTTTTTTTAAATGCTAACTTGAAGAACATCAGTTCTAATCTAAAACAGAAAATTATATAGTGCAAAAAAATAAAGTTATTATACATTTTTACTCGTTTTGATTTACAACAACAACAATTGTTTTTATTAACATACAAAGATGTTTTTTCGAGTTTATTGTTTTTATTGAATCTAAGAAGAGCGAAATCAAAGTTTACAAATATTTGTATTCTAGCCACGACTGTAATATTTCCGGAGCAAGGGCAGAGAGAGAGACTTGAAGGAAAAAGATATATATTTCCGGTAAAAAAAAAAAAGAATTCCGCAGCTACTGCCGAGCGGCGCTTTCCGCATTCTGAGCGCGTAGGAATCGAACGCGCGCTACACGGTGGCGAATTAATGCGCAACGGGATTTTCTTATTGGGCAGGCATCGTCCGCGACACGCTCTGTTTGGCTAACGAGGCGGCGGACGTGGCACACACAGCGGACCTTTAATTGCTTTAATAAAGTACAGCTTGAAGTGGCTCTCGCCGCTCTGGCGCGCCGCGCGATCCCGCCTTCGTGAAGTCGAAGAGAACGCGCGCGTTCTCTCGGGCACCTACGCCGTAGCGCGGGACACTCGTTTACGTACCTTGCCTTTATTAGAGATTAGAGGCAGAATGGATATCGAACGATCTGGGTCGCGTTCGTTTCGAGCTTAAGGACTGACAAGAACTCAATTTCGCAAAGCGTGTCAAGGACGATCGGGAAGATCGCGACCTGTTGTTCAATTATCGTCAATTGTGCGACAAGTGCTCGCGATTGCGTAACGTCGCGATAGGCGCACCACTTTGCTGCTAAGCAGCGAAAGGGAGAGCTCATGAATTATTCTTAATGATCCGCACATAACACGCGGGCACGATACAAAAAGCATATAAATTCTTTGAACCAGCTTCGCGTTAAGCATAAAAAAAAAAATCCAATGAGATCCGTGGCGGATCCCAAGTCGTCCTAATCGCCGAAACCTGCACTGCGGATTACATTCATTTATATAGCGTGTGTGATAAATTATACAAAATTCCCGTATCGAATCTTGAGATTCGGTTCGTAATATGAATAAATGATCGCGCGTTTTCTGACTACAAATTTACATAATCTGATTGAACATGTGATTGACGACTTTAAAAAGTGGAATTTTATGAAAAATATCGCTTCAACTTGTACGCACTATCTTGAATTATCTCAAAACTTTATAATGCAAAAAATATGAGATTGAATATTACCGTCAATCTGCATTGTATTGAATGTTTTATTTTCGTCGAATATTATTCTAAAGAACACGTGTATACTCGCCGATGCGCGATATGTCGTGACAGGGCAGTTTATGGTTCGCTAGACTCATGTCACCGCTAGGTGACAATCAACACGCCGGAAGTTAATTGTGAATGTGCGACGAGCTGGACAGGAAATCGTGCAAACCGGACGGAAAGTGGTTAAACAGAGTGTTAGGTATATACATTCGCTCGTTTAGATCGATTCAGTTGGCGAAAAAGTGAAGTTTTATCAACTATCCGCAAAGTATCTCGCGCGCGCGCGCGTGTTATCGATATGCCAGGCGCATTAGATGACTTTCGATTAGCCTCGCGCTTTTCAGCAAGTGTTTTCTCAATAAGCATAATAGCTCTCTGTGATCACGGCCGACGAGATAACTGGACCGTGAATCCGGCGTTTGACATTCTTATACATGAAATAGCATAGAAAGTATCTCTGTTTTTATTTACTCGCAGAGCGCTTTCGTGATTGAGAGTCGAGCGAGATTCGCATCGTCTTTTCTATCAAGAGAACATCGATTTTTAATTATCTCGCAAAAACAAGTATATCCCAACACGAACTGCTTTTTGTTTCAGGCTACAAGAAAGATTTCCAAATGCGGATACCTGTTCGTCGCGCCTGGCTGGGATTTTTCAAACCCCCTGAACCGGACGAAGGTGAGTCTCTCGCTTTTATCATTCTGTCAGAAACGACTGATACATCCTCTTGCGATCGATCGTTGTCGTCATCGTCGTCGATGTCGATGTCGATTGAATTGCATCGCAGGTGCGAAGGGAGATCCCTATTCGCGCCGCGCCGATCGGAAGTATCTAGCCGCGCACGATCGACTCATCGATCACTTCCGTTTCGATGCTCGGGGCTACGTGACGCGTTATCGGACCTCGATCGCGTCTATCGATCGGTGGGAGATCGCGCCGCGAGATGTGAATCGGGTCGACGCGCAATTTGCTCATTATCGAGAAAGTGAGGATAAGCAGGCGCCGTTTCTCGTATCCTCCCGCTGAAAGGCCGCGTGGCGATACGTTTTTCCACGATCTCGCGAGGCGATTCGCGCCGCGAAAACGTGACTCCGGCTAACACGTAAACGGCCGTCGTTCCGGCTTTATTTTACATTTATGACGGTCGCGCGCGCGCGCGCGCGTACGCGTGAATGTTGTTCCTTTCTAAACTTTCTCTGATGTGAAATATACTGTTTACACTTTGTACGAACCACGATTTTTCTTCATCTCGATGTATCGATCACGCGCCGAAGAAATGCATTTTCCGGCTGCGACCTTACGTCTCCGTAATTGCGGCGAATTGCTCGAATAACGCAGAAATACGCGGATGCTGAATTGCTAGTTGCGTGATTTATGCTCGTTTAATGGGAACGACGACTATGACGACGACGACGACGACGACGTCGTCCTTCGACTGATGCAAGTTTCTCTATAAAAGCGCGACATGTGCGGATTTGATTGACGCGATGAGAATTCGAAGTCAACACTGTTAGAATCAACAATGCAATTGTCAAGAGAGAAGATATTATCAGAGAAAAATTAAAGTAACAATTCACAGACGCCCGATAACGGTGATTATATCGCGGATAACCTTTAGTAACAATTGTAAGAAATTTTCTTTCGAGCACGTGTGTAGACGCAACTACTTATTAATTAAGAAAAAGTGTCCATCTCGCCGTATTCTTGAATTATACGAAGGAAATGTCAAACAAGATGTTGCGTTTAAATCGTTATTATCGGCGATCAACAATAACCTTTAGTCGTTGCGAAACTGTGTTTATATCGTCGTGTTACAAGTTCCGTGTAACACTTGAAAATATCGTTTAAATCGTAATTTATATTGCGAGCGAGGTGCATATAGTTGTAAATTGCTAACTGTTCGGCAACGAGATGAAAAGACGTTCAATTTCGTCGCGTGACGTTTACCTATTTTGAAGCTGAGCATTCCGCTGATTACAGCCGAGATTTACGTGATCGATAATTATCGGCACGTATCGGAGCGTGTTACCTCGCTTTTGCCAGCCGTGCGAATAGAAAGCGGTCTCATTGGTGACCGTCTTTGGCCTCGATCTTGGTCTTGCTCGCGATAATCTCTTGTTTGATGGTCTATGACAGGCTGACCGCTCAATTTTTACAGCGATTTTTCAATTTGCCACGAATAAGAGCGCTTTCACAGACTGTTGCCGCACGTGAGATTTGATAGCAGCTCAATCGGCCGCACAGTCTTGTGTTTCTATAGCCATCTCGACACAGTTTCTTGTATACTTTCTACAGCAAACACCAATCACGTATATAAGAAAAAAAATTTATCTAAGTGCAAACAATTTTTGTGAGAATTTCATCTCATATGTTTGTCGATTTTTGTATATTTAGTTTGTTTACTAATAATTGGATACGCGGCAAGATTTTTTAAAATCTTTCTGAGTATAGTTTCTTTTATTGAAGACGGTAAACTTTTTATCTTGGTATTTACTATTTTACGTGTGTCAGCTGTTCATTGTCTTCATTGTTTTTTTACAAGTCATTAATTTTATAGCTGTGTACTTTTCTTGGTCCTTAGAAATCTTCAGGACGCCACAGTAATAAACGCTCTTTCTATTACTACTTCGAGCCTCCTGTAAACGTTCCGGTCATAAAAGGAGAATCCGCGAACGAACTCTTCTCTCTTCACTCTCCTCGATAACGAATTGTTGTCGTTTCCGCGGTCGAAGATATACCGTCGAGAGATTACATGGACCGCGAACTCGTAAATCCCGAGTTGTTGCGGAGAAAGTGAATAATTACTGAAGTTGCTTTCAGAAAGGCCTTTGAAGCAACGAAGCGCGGTGTGCGTAGCCATTAACGCGCAGTACCGACTTCTTAATTAAGCGGATCTTGTTAATTCATGCGCGACGCGTCGTCGGAGTTTTCTTCTTTTCTGTCTTGGCGTGTGCCTTTTTTTTTTTTGATGAAAAATTCTTCTGCGATACGTACGACGATTTGCTAGTCGCTTTACCTAACGATATCGTGTCACGCTTGAAGATACTTTATTGCTCGCAAGACAGTACTTAAGAGACTCGGATTCTCGGGAGATTATTAGTTAATATTTTACGGCATTCCTGTCTGTTTATTTTTTTTGTTTGTATATAAAAACGTATTTGCGGCGGACGGCGAACACGCATATTTGCAATTTTTTAGCGTTTTAGCAGCTTGGATCTGTTGTTTCTTTCTATACTAAAAAGCTGGCTCGTAAAATCTGCGTGTAATGTGTGTTTAGTCTATAGTCACTCGGTATATTTCGCACGTCACGAATTTCACGACGCGACCAATGGAATCGCAGTAAAACTCGCACTACGCGATATAATAACGCGACGCCTCTATTTTCACTGCAATAGTATCCTCGAGGCACTTCGAGAGAAGTCGAATGGTAGGAATCTCTCACGGTTCCGTGAGATCGAAGAGGATCGATGGATCTGCGTCTGTAATATTGCGGTTAGAGAAATACTCTCTCGCGAGCATGCGTAACTATACTCGCACGGCTGAAAATTACAATTTACTCTACTACGTTCTCCTCTCGATTTCCCTCTGCAGTTCTGACTTCTCTTCGGAGATCGATACTTCCATTTTCAGGAATTCAGATGATATCGTAGATCGATCTTTAATCTTTCAACGATAGAGAGTGAGTAATAAGAATTTTCTTGCAATCTCGTATCGATCAAAGCTGAAGATATTTCGTCTCTGTAGTATTTATGTCGTGGTACATGTTGTAAAAAAATGTGTACAACATAATATTTAAAAAGCAAGGAAAAATCAACCGATACTTGAATCATAAATCCAAGAAGCATTGTAACGCAACGAGTGTGTGTCAGTAGTAAAACTCGTCGTTACACACGCATTCACGTGTTTGCGTTCTGTTATAACGACATCGTAAATGATAAGGTGCAACGACTTCGGTGCGATAACGCATTTTTATTACGTAATACTAGTATTGTACGCGAGAGTAAACAACAACTTTCAGTATATGTCACACTTGATGTAAAAGGAAAAAGTGGACTTTATCAGTCACGCTTGTGTGTTTTGCGCATGATTTGATCGTCATGAACTCGCGCGGCGAGTTTGCATAACTTGGCGACAGTGCAAAATATTTGGCAGGCACGTAAATAACGTTAAAGCAACATATTCGCCCATATCTCGCGATCGTGAAAACACAAATGCGCACAACTTGAAGATTAATTTTACGGCAGCGGTCGCGCGCTAATTGATAACGGCCGTATTGATGGTCGGAACGAGAACCGAGGTAAATTCGCGAATTGCCTAGTTAATAGCATCGGCACCGCGCATACAGTATTACTTTTCTTTGATAGGCGAGCTCCCCGGAGTGTCGCGACCTCGATTAATTTACCGATTCGGAATTAATCGATTACGCACCGTAGCTTACGAGACAAAAAACGCTTTACTTGCAAGTCGTTCTGCGTAGGCAGCCTGTCCGATGTTGTGTGTTTTGTGTTGTGACAGCGTTTTACACATGTTTCGTTACCTTTTAACAGAAAACAATATTTCGCACCGTCGCGCATCGTTGCATAACAACAAGTATCATTTCTGCATCGCTAATTTGTTTCCGCGTGACACGTTTATTATTGTGAAGTTATTGTCAGCGTTGGAAAAAAAAAGTAATTGTGCAATTTTTTTCGCAGGGATCGTTTTCTTCCGTTTTTCCTGTATGTATACCCTATTGTCCTGGCAGATACATATTCATGCGAATGACGGATGGCTCTTTGTTGCATAATCCATGTGTGTTTTGTCGCGACACACCTATGACACCTGTACTCGTTATCGCATATTCGGTGCTAATCCGAAACGTCAATATTCTTATCGCAAGGTAAATACTAAGAACTCGAGACTCTCGTTCACGCTTATTAGATGATTTCATTCTCGGGCACGCGAAAATTCATTGAAAACAAAACGTCGTAAGTCATAGGATACATTATCTAAATCTCTTTTTAATGTATACAATTGTGAGAAATGCTTGTAACGTGAACGTGTGTCAAGCACATATTGCAGACTTCTCAGGAATTGTTTAAGTCAGGTCTAAGTGTTGGCAAATAACTTAACAAATTCTTTGTGTAGTAATATAACGTTTTGTGTATATGTCAGAAAAATCCAAACAATGTTTAATGATAAATTTATGACGCAGGTTGCAAAGGTACGAACAACGTAAAAACAAAACAATTCTCAGTAAAATATTTATTGAAGAAAAGGAAAACTTATGAGATTTGTACACGTGTGTCGAAGCATCTGTCGCAAATGCTGTTTTACGACATCAAAACGAAGCAGACACGACACAATCTTGTACAAGCAGTAAAAACATAATATGGCACGCGTCAAAATATACAACATATCAATAAAACATCATCGATAAAAACTTAAACGGAATGAGCAGAACTAGTCGAACGTCATTCCTCGTGATGATCGCGACGACTTTGGCGATTGGCTTTGCGCGTGCGATAATTCAATTATAAGAACGATCGATCTTAATTCCACGCGCGCGTTTGTCCTTTAATTATCCAATTAACGCGCTCATCGTTAATTCGCCACGAGCACAAAAATGTGTCGCGAATGGAACGCCGGGAATATTTTTCTAGCGATGGAAAAAGAGAGAAAAACGCAAGCGAGTGATA